GTCAGAATTTCGCGAATGCTTCTAGAGGTCTTCAGTCTAGAGTGAGTGGAGCTATGCCTCCTTTTTCACGAGTTCTAGATTTCTGACAGCTCTAGAAGCACTCGCAATTTTTTTCGTGAGTCGAGAATAGTGGCGCGAGGCCCCATATCTGAAAGTTTCTTTCACTACATACCTACCACTGGTTCTAAGGCTAGCTTTCCACCTCTCTTCGGTGAAGACTCTACTGAAGTTACCCCATAAAAATAATTCTGCATTACCTGGCGCCAGTCTGTTCAAGGGTAGTGCAGTCCAAAACCGTCCAGGCCGTCCATCTGGACAGATGCCCATTCACCAACCTGGTGGACAGATGCGACTCACCAACTTGCAGGAAGGACGAAATGTCTCAGAACAGTTCCCTGCACTACAGACAAAACGTGGTAACCTCAGTAGAGTTAAAAAAACGAGTTATAAGTGCACTATGGGGCAGGATACAGTTTGCTATTGCCCTTTGGGCATGCTACCTGGCCAGAAAGCTGGGTTGTATACATTGCCCGAACTGCAGTTTGTATAACTCATTTTTGTGACTCCCGCATAGTTTCCCCTGGTTTTATTTTGTTCATCTGGTTCCATCAGATTCTGGATTCCAACACAGGTCTGTATTTCAACAGCTGATGGGTGTACCAGCTGAGCTACGTCCTCACCCGACTGTGCACGCCAAAGGACTTTCTGCTGGGCTCTGCTGGGCAGATCTACAGCCTCGTATCCATGCTTGGTCAGATTGGACACAGCTGGGCATCACCCACCAAAATTGCGATAAGCGGCAGTATGCCTACTAGGGAGGTATGCCTATCTCAATTTCCCTAATAGGCTGAACCCCGTTTGAAAAGGAAAAGAAAAAGGATTGCATTGCATGAGGTCTCAGGCTTATTCTCTGAAGGTGAGACCCTGGGCCTGGTCACACCAATGCCTAAACCGGTTCGTAGGGGGAGGGACCAGAGGGGAGTCACAGTGACTGGCCCATAGAAGAAGCTCCGTCGTTATGCTACCGGCTGACCTCTGGCCTTTATGGCCTTCATGGCTCACCTGCTGTGGCAGGTATTGGCCCTGTTGGTGGGTGCATCTCCAGCATGCGCCCTCATTGGAGGCTTGAGCACGGATTTGGCGGGTAAGGGTTCCCCTTTATACTATAATGACAATAAAAAAGGCCAGAAAGGCAGTCCTGTCCAGATTTGACAGGTTACTGAATTGGTTGGGCTTAAAAAGAATTAGCCTTATAATCAGGGTTTCCGGTGTTCAGGACGGGCCGAACACCCGAAACAGAACGCCCTACCGTTCTGGGCCCCCTCTCGACGCGTTCGGCCGAACACAAACCCCCCCCCCCAAAAAAAAAAACAAACGAAAAAAATAACATGTTGTGCACAAGAATAAACTGAACAACATTTACCTCAACGTTACATCCGAGTTCTTTACCAAATTTGAAATAAAAATCAAATACAAAAAATAAATAACAATAATGAAAATTCGAAAAAATCAAACGACAATGAAATTATTGAGTGGGCTAGCACGTTTCTGACACCACCATCTTTGACATTTTTTTTTTTCTTTTTTGGCTTTGACGAATGCCATGAAAATTTCTGTATGTGTATCTTACATAATTGAGAACCTGCAAATAAAGTTTGGAAAAATAATAATTTTCTTCATGGCCCGAAATAAAGGAAAAACAAAAAGTGAGAAGAGATAAGAAACAAATTTGTGAGTGGGCAAGCAAGTTGTGACACCACCGTCTTTGGCGATTTTTCATTATTTTTTGGCTCAACAGAATGCCTTCAAAATTAAGAGAAAGATACCTTACATTACAAGGAACTCACCAAAACAAATTCAGAAACAAATAATAATATTTAGGTGCCAAAATATTTTTTTTGGGGGTCCGCACCCCTTCGGGTTCGGGCCCTGTACAGGGACCCGAAAGCCCTAACGTTTGGGGCTCAGCTTAGGGGTCGGCCTAACAAGCCGGCTTATAATCATAATAATAAAAGAAACTGGTTCTTTTTCGACACCTGTCAGCCATTTTTCGACATTGGTGTTCTCTACAAAAAAGCTGCCTTGGGCCTATAGAGTGTGGAAAAGTCGGGATGTCGAGGCTGTCTAAGGGGCTAAAACGCCTTTGCCACAATGCTCTTTTCTGCTCGGCGGGTTCTTGAGGCTGTGGAACTGAAGACAGGATTTCCACAGCGCCTTGACTCTGACAGATGGTTAAAAGTCGCTCGTTTTTTTTTGTTTTCGTTGTTTTTCTTCTTCTTTTCTTGGGAAAAGTTAGAGAATCCATTATCAAAGCACAAGACTTTGAGGTCGGGAATCCTCAAAAAACAACCCGGTGAGAACAGGGCACTCTGGTAGTAGTGGTGTCTGCTCTTATCAGGGCACTCTGGTAGTAGTGGTGTCTGCTCTTATCAGCACCACTATCACCGGTAGGGGTGTTTTTTAAAAAAAAGAAAAAAAAAAGGAAAAAAGAAAAAGAAAAAAAAGCTTGGAATGCCAAAAACGATTTTGGTGGTTGAGGGGGCAGTGTGTTTACTCTAAACCAGTCGCAAATCCTGTGATTTTAGGTCCCAGTGAGTAGTGAAGAACCATGAACTGGGCAAGCCGCCCAGCTCAGTAGGTTAGGCATGCAAGTGGCAATCATAAATGTGGGTTCAATCCCCCACCGACCGCCTGGGAACACTTGGCGCCAGCCAACTGAGATGGTTGGCTTGCTTCGCCCATTCTGGATTGGTGGGGTCTTTAGCCATCACAGTGGTATGTGTGTGAGTGTGGTGGATGGGAGAACGCTGGCCATAGAAACTGCTCGTGCTACTCGATGGGGGTAGGAGGGGGGGGAGGTAGATGGGTGGCGCAGCTACTTGCGAAGTGTTTGGGTTAGCCGATTCCACTCCCGTCTCCCCCCCCCCCCC